TTGGGCAGCCCACGATCCCCCCACGGGACCCAGACCTCCGACTCGTGCCGAGTGGAGTAGTCCAGTCCCGTCCACGCGTGCCTCTCCCGCGGTGAGAATGCTGTCGATGCTGGAGGCTGCACTGGCCGCGCATGACATCCTTTCCCTCCCGGTGCCAGGTGTGCCACCTGAGACAGGCTCCCGGTCCTGAGGGAAGCCGCCGTTGGGAGCACACCAGCTCTCCCCGGCAAGAGACAGCCCGTGCTCCGAGGACCGTGCGCCCCATTCGCCGAGGTCCTCACATAGCTCGTGTCAGTCCTCCACTCCGATCAGACTTGCTGACTCACCTGCGCAGGAGCCTCGAAGGTCCTCCACTCCCCATCGGGAGCGCAGGCACCGAGACAAGCGGCGTCAACGCTCCTCTTTGGATAGGAGCTACAGGAGCAGATCCCGACGCCATCGTTATGGACACTCGGGCTCGAGTGCCCACTCCGCTAGACACCATAGACGGAGCTCTCCTCGGGCGTTACCGGCACCGAAGCGTTGAAGCTACGATCGCCGGGACGACTGTGAGAGCAGCACTTCGGTCGAGTACTGCTCCTCATTGTCGTCGAGGCCCAGATCTCGAGGTCGGCACCGGCACGACCGTAGACGCTCCTGTTGCTCCTACGGCACCGTGCGGTCAACGGCGACCTCGGCACCCAGCCACCCGTCCCCAAGCCGCTCCAGGCCCCAAGAGCAGCCTGCACCGCTCGGCACCCAAGCCAGTCAGTGGCAAGGGGCGCCGTGGCAGGGCCAATGGTGTCAATGGGCACCGTGTCCGCAATTGCCTGCCCAGGCGAGACCCCGCTCGGTAGCCAGGGCGTCGCAGACCCATTCGGTGTCCCCCCCCTTGACAGAGTCAGAAGTCGACGGGCACCGAACTGGCGGCACCGGGCCCGGACTGGGTCTTGGGAGTCGAACTAGCGGCACCTCCCGATGCTCTGGTAGCCGGACCGGCCCCCTCGGCGGCACCGGAGGAGACCATAGCGGCACCTCCGTCCGTTGTACAAGAGGACTTTAAAGCTCACCAGGAGCTCCTCAAAAGGGTAGCCTCGAATCTCCAACTCCAGGCTGAGGCGATGGAGGAGCCGTCGGACACCCTTTTCAATGTTCTGTCCTCCTCGGCACCGGGCTGTGTGGCCTTACCCCTTCACCAAGGTGTGGCCAATATATCGACTGCCCTGTGGCAGACCCCAGCTTCCTTGGTGCCCATCTCCAAGAAAGCAGAAAAAAAGTACTTGGTTCTGGCTAAGGGACATGAGTACCTGTACTCCCACCCGGCACCTAACTCCCTGGTGGTGGAGTCAGTCAACTATCGGGAACGCCACGGCCAGCCTGCACCCACCACCAAGGACAAAGACGTCAGGGACCGGGAACATGCCACCCTCCTAAACCAAGAGGTGGCGCGCCTTCTCAACCTGGGTGCGGTGGAGAGGGTAGGAGCTGGGGGCACTGGGCAGTGAGAGGATCTGTGGGGGGGTTCTGAGTGAGTGGGGGAGTGGTCTGGGAGGGCACTGGGCATGTGGGTTTGTGGGGGTCTCTGGGTGGTGTGGCACTGGGCATAGGGAGTCAGAGGGGTGCTGGGCAGGGGGGTAGCATGGTGCAGCATGGGCCCACCCCCAAGGGGAAGAAGCACGATGGCAGTGCAGGGCCAGGCTGGACAGTGTGGGTCTGGCAGCTCCCGGTTTGTAAACAGTGCCCTAATACTGGGCTGGGTGGAGTGGGGCTGTCCCTGCCGTGCCATGACCCTTCTCCCATTGCCCTGGCCAGCCCCTCATTCTGAGGACTCTGCCCCCCTGCCCCATGTCCCCATTTCCCCCATGGGGGCCCACAAATATGTTTAGCACAGGGCCCACAAAAGGTTAATCCAGCCCTTTTTGGGGTGCAGGCTCTGGGATGGAGTTGGGGTACAGGAGGGTTGCAGGCTATGGGGAGTTTGAGTGAAGGGTGCAGGCTCTGCCCTGGGGCAGGGGATTGGGGTACAGGAGGGGGTGCAGACATGTGGGCTCTGGGAGGGAGTTAGCAACTCGGCACGTTGTATAAGAGAAAGGAGCTGCAGTGATTTCATATAGACATAGAAATTGATAAAAGACTCTTTTACGTATTCAAAATGTGAGATGCAGAGTTGGAGGGAGTGAGGGAGTACAATATTTCATCGCATTCAGTCTCCTGGCTGGAGCAGTAACGTAGGCCCGCAGCACTTGTATACGATAGAGAGGAGCTGCGGTGTCTAAGCTTTGACAGGCTAGGAATTGGAGGCCTGTGCCTTTAAGACCCCAGTCCCAGGAACCCGCCCTCTGCTTCGGGGCGGACATGCAGCATCCTGTGAGCAGAATGAAAACAACCTCTGCACCCGCCACACCCCTAGATTAGCGAGCGCAGCAGGTGGCTCATCCCACGGGGTCACTGTTCCCCCCCATCCCCTCCCTAAACGGGGAGTTTTGTCCCCGCATGGGGTCTGGCAGCGTCTCCCCCCCCCCAAGGCTTAACCCCGGCTCCTACCCCCACCCCGATTTTTCCCCTTCAGCCCCTCTTCTGCCACTACCTACAGTAGCTTGATCCCCCCAGGCCAGTAAATTTCTGCCCCCTGCTCAGACCCTGACAGCCCCCCGCTGCGATTTGCCCCCCTTAATCCTTTTAAACCCCTCCAAAGAGGAGTCAGCAAATCGTAAGTAGAAGTAAGGGCAGAGAGAGGGCAGTGGCAACAGCGAAGGTAACTGGGAATGCTCAGTACACCCAAAGTAGGGAATTGGGAGCAGGGGCTGTTTTCGCGGGGACTCACCCTCAGCAGAGCGGGGTCTATGACCCGGGACGGGCAGGTCCGGCTCTGCCCAGCAGGGGGCAGCGCAGCTCCGGGAGCGGGGCCTGGGGGGGCGGTTCGGATCAAAGCCAGAGCAGGAAATTCACCAACTTGCTGAGTCAGAGGCGCCTGCCCCATTCTGTCCATCCTCAAAACCCCCACGCAGTGTGCAACCCCCCCCCTTCTGTCCGTCTGTCCATCCTCACCCATTCGCACTGTCCAACCCCCTCTTCCATCCGTCTGTCTGTCCTCACCCCCCCCCGCCTGTCCAACTCCCTCTTCTGTCTGTGCGTCCCCACCCACATGCCTCCCTCCCTCCATCCCCACTCCCCTCCTTCCGTCTGTTCATCCATTCCCCGTACATTTCCTTCTCAGCCGTATCCCAGGCCCTGCCGGGGGCTGGGGCCATGTGGGGGGGGGTTGGTAGTCCTGGATTGTGTTTGTCTGGCCTGGCTGAGAGCCGTGATGACTGGGTGTATCCATCCCACTCTGGGCAAGCAGGGGCGTTCTCCCCCCACCCCCAGCAGATGTGCAGGGCCCTGTGACACTCCCCTACATTTCTCCACCCCTAGCCCAGCTCCCAGCCATTTCCTCCATCCAGACATCCATCCCCACCCCCCTCCCGTCCGTCTGTCCATCCATCCCCATTACCCACACACACACACACACACACACATTTCTCCATCCAGCTCCCAGCTGTGCCCTGGTCCCTGCCTGCCCCTACTTGCTGGGAGCTGGCGCCATGTGCTGGGAAGGGGGGGCCCGAGAGGAACTGTCTCTCTGATCTCTGAGCTAGGCCCGAGAGCCTGCGGGACTCCCTGCCACAGGACTTGGCTGAGCAGGGGGGTGGGGCTGGGGTCTCAGAGCTGTTGCTGGGGGACACACCCTGTGCCCATCAGTTTCCATGGGAACCCTGTATCTCACCGCACACCGTTCCCCCGCACAGATCTCCGACCCCAGACCAAGATGACGAGCTGCGGCCTCCTGAACAGTTCCAACAAGCCGGGTGAGTCAGGGCGGTGGGGTCCCATGACTGATGCCCCCCTCCCCCAGAGCCCATGGAGGGGGTTGTGGGGGGCCCATGGCTGACATCCCCCTTCCCCGGCGCCCATGGGGGTCAGAGGGGCCCGTGGCTGATGTCCCATTCCCCCGGCGCCCGTGGGGGTCAGAGGGGCCCGTGGCTGATGTCCCTCCCCCCCCCCCCCCCCAGTGCCCCTGCGCAGTGGCTCGGTGACGGTGCTGATCCGAGGCTTCGTGGCGGATGTCGGCTGCGAGCTGCTCTACAGGAATGAGGAGCCGGAGCCAGTGGAGGCCGTGTTCGTGTTCCCCGTGGACGCCGAGGCGGCCGTCTACACCTTCCAGGCCCGCCTGGGGGGCGCCTGCATCGAGGCCCAGCTCCGCGAGAAGAAAAAGGTACCCGGAGGCAAGGGTTCTGGGAAGGAGAGATGGTACCGGGGGGCAGGGTATGGGTACACGCTGGCTTCGGGGCAGGGCAGGGGGATCTCGGGGTGACCCCATCTTTCCCGGCAGGTGCAAGAGCTGTACAGGGACACACTAGCTGGGGGGCAGGGCAGGGGGATGTTGGGGGAATGGGGAATCTCGGGGTGACCCCTTCTCTCCTGACACACACAGGAGCTGTATGGGGACACCCTGGCAAGGGGATCTCTGGGGATAAGGAGATCTCGGGCTGACCCTGTCTCTCCAGGAGGTGCAGGAGCTGTTACTTCTAGGGGAATTTGGCACCAAAAAAATTAAAATTCTGTGCACAATATTTTAATATTCTGCATATTTTTTTGTCAAAATAACACAGTGTAATCATGGCAGTTTCCATTATTTTGGTAATTTATTTCAAAATAGTATCAGCAAGTACGTCTGTAACAACACTGACCAGAAAAAAGATTCTGGTAAATTTTTCCATGAATAGATTCCTTTCTAAGCTTATTCATACAATTATATTAAACTACAATATAGAGCCATATTTCCCGCCCCCCTCAGAAGCAGCACAAAGGCTTGGCGGAGTCAGGGGTAACGGAGGAGCTGAGGGAGAGGGAAGGAGTCTGGAGTGAACCTCGAGGATTGTTGGGTGTGAGTGGGAGAAGTATGGAACAGGTTTTTTTGGGGGGAGGGATTCTTAGGGAATTGGGGAGCCTCCCCCATGCAGACCCTTGCTCAGCCCAAGCCTCTCCCATTCAGTCAGGCACATCTGACCCTGTCTCTACACACACCCCTCGGTCTCTGCAGCCTCTTCCCCCCATCCCTGTGTGTCCCTGCATCCCCTTTCTCCTGTTCCCGTGTAGCCCTGCAGCCCCCCTCCCATTCAGTCTTTGGTTCAATGGTGTCACCCCACTAGCTCCTGAGCTGACAGCCCAGTCTCTCCCCCCCACCCACTGCCCCGGAGCCCCGTGTGCCCCACTCTGTCCTAACCAGGCTCCGCGGGCAGGGTGCTGTGAAGAACGCAGCCGGCTCCTGGCTTCTCTAGTGCCACAGCAGCCTCTGGTGGGTGAAAGGTGGAACTGCAGCACTTCTTGGGCAGAATGCATTTTCTGCGGGGGGGAGAATTCTGCACCAGACGTGAATTCTGTGCATACGCAGTGGTGCAGAATTCCCCCAGAAGTAACCTGTTCGATGATGTGCTGGTTGGGGGGCAGGGAGGGGGGATCTCAGGGGCCAGGGTGAACTTGGGGTGACCTTGTCTCTCCGGCAGGCACAAGAGCTGTACGGGGATGCGCTGGCCGCGGGGCAGAGCTCATTCTTGCTGCAGCAGGAGGGGACTGGGGGCGACGTTTTCAGCTGCTCCCTGGGTAACCTGCCCCCCGGGGAGGAGGCGGTGCTGACCCTGCGCTACGTCTGCGAGCTGCCGCTGGAGCCCGATGGAGCCGCCCGCTACATGCTGCCAGCTGTGCTGCGCCCCCGCTACACGCCCCATGGTGAGACCTACAGATACCCCTGCCACGTTAGCCTGCCTGGTGAGACTCGTAGTCCCCAACACCCCCACTGCGCACCCTACAGTGAATGATCCCACAGCCTGTAACCCTCCGAAGTTCCCTAGCCCCTGCTACGTACCCCACAGGGAAAGACCCACATGGACCCTCATAGACCCATAGGCCACTACTATGTGCCCCATGGTAAGCACCACCCCAGCCCTGCAATCCCTGCCCCAGGGTACGTGACCCCCCCTCCCAGCATCCCCCCATGCCTCTCAATAGCCCATTCCCCCCATAGAATCATAGGACTGGAAGGGACCTCGCAAGGTCATCTAGTCCAGTCCCCTGCACTCGTGGCAGGATTAATTATCTAGACCATTCCTGACAGGTGTTTGTCCAACCTGCTCTTAAAAATCCCCAATGATGGAGATTGCACAAGCGCTCTAGGCAATTTATTCCAGTGCTTAACCACCCGATAGGAAGTTTTTCCTAATGTTCAACCTAAATCGCCCTTGCTGCAATTTAAGTCCATTGCTTCTTGTCCTATCCTCAGAGGTTAAGAAAAACATTTTTTCTTCCTCCTCCTTGTAACAACCTTTTACATACTTGAAAACTGTTATCATGTCCCCTTTCAGTCTTCTCTTCTCCAGACTACACAAACCCAATGTTTTCAATCTTCCCTCATAGGTCATGTGTTCTAGAACTTTAATCATTTTTGTTGCTCTTCTCTGGACTCTCTCCAATTTGTCCACATCCTTCCTGAAATGTGGCACCCAAAACTGGACACAATACTTCAGTTGAGGCCTAATCAGAGCAAAGTAGAGAGGAAGAATTACTTCTTGTGTCTTGCTTACAACACTCCTGCTAATATAGCCCAGAATGATGTTCGCTTTTTTTGCAGCAGTGTTACACTGTTGACTCATATTTACCTTGTGATCCACTGTGACTCCCAGATCCCTTTCCGCAGTACTTCTTCCTAGGCAGTCATTTCCCATTCTGTATGTGTGCAACCCATTGTTCCTTCCTAAGTGGAGTGCTTTGCATTTGTCCTTCAGACCATTTCTCCAGTTTGTCCAGATCATTTTGAATTTTAATCCTATCCTCCAAAGCATTTGCAGCCCCTCCCGGCTTGGTATTGTCCGTAATCTTTATAAGTGTACTCTTTATGCCATTATCTAAATCATTGATGAAGATATTGAACAGAACCGGACCCAGAACTGATCCATTTGGGACCCCACTCGTTATGTCCTTGCAGCATGACTGTGAACCACTGATGACTACTCTCTGGGAACGGTTTTCCAACCAGTTTTGCACCCACCTTATACTAGCTCCATCTAGGTTGCGTGTCCCTAGTTTGTTTAAGAGGTGGTCATGGGAGACAGTATCAAAAGCTTTACTAAAGTCAAGATATACCACATCTATCGCTTCCCCCCATCCACAAGGCTTGTTACCCTGTCAAAGAAAGCTATCAGGTGGATTTGACACAATTCGTTTTTGACAAATCCATGGTGACTGTTACTTATCACCTTATTATCTTCTAGGTGTTTGCAATTGATTGTCTAATTATTTGCTTCGTTATCTTTCCGGGTACAGAAGTTAAATTGACTGGTCTGTAATTTCCCAGGTTGTCCTTATTTCCCTTTTTATAGATAGGCACTAGATTTGTCCTTTTCATCTCTCCCATCTTCCATGACTTTGCAAAGATAATTGCTAATGGCTCATGTATCTCCTCAGTCAGCTCCTGGAGTATTCTAGGATGCATTTCATCAGGCCCTGGTGACTTGAAGACCTCTAATTTGTCTAAATAATTTTTAACTTGTTCTTTCCCCATTTTAGCCTCTTCTGATCCTACCTCGTTTTCACTGGCATTCACTACATTAGATGTCCAATCAGCACCAACCTTCTTGGTGAAAACCAAAACAAAGAAGTCATTAAGCGCCTCTGCCATTTCCACATTTTCTGTTATTCTTTTGCCCCGTCACTGAGTAATGGGCCTACCCTGTCCTTGGTCTTCTTCTTGCTTCTAATGTATTTGTTTTCTTGTTACCCTTTATGTCTCTGGCTGGTTTGATCTCGTTTTGTGCCTTGGCCTTTCTAATTTTGTCCCTACATACTTGTGTTATTTGATTATATTCATCCTTTGTAATTATACCGAGTTTCCACTTTTTGTAGGACTCTTTTGATTTTTAGATCGCTGAAGATCTCCTGGTTACGCCAGGGTGGTCTCTTGCCATACTTCCCATCTTTCCTATGTAGTGGGATAGTTTCCTCTTGTGCCCTTAATACTGTCTCTTTGAAAAACTGCCAACAGTCTCCAATTGTTTTTCCCTTTAGACTCACTTCCCATGGGACCTTACACCTGCCAACTCCCTGAGTTTGCTAACATCTGCCTTCTTGAAATCCATTGTCTTTATTTTGCTGTTCTCCCTCCTACCATTCCTTAGAATCATGAACTCTACCATTTCATGATCACTTTCACCCAAGCTGCCTTCCACTTTCAGATTCTCAACCAGTTCCTCCCTATTTGTCAAAATCAAATCTAGAACAGCCTCCCCACTAGTAGCTTTCTCCACCTTCTGAAATAAAAGATTGTCTTCAATACATTCCAAGAACTTGTTGGATAATCTGTGCCCTGCTGTGTTATTTTCTCACAGATGTCTGCGTAGTTGAAGTCCCCCATCACCACACAGTCCTATGCTTTGTATGATTTTATTAATTGTTATCAGTTTAAAAAAAGCCTCATCCACCACTTCTTCCTGGTTTGGTGGTCTGTAGTAGACCCCTACCCTGACATCACCCTTGTTTTTTACCCCTTTTATCCTTACCCAGAGACTTTCGACAAGTCTGTCTCCTATTTCCAGCTCAGTCTAAGTCCAGGTAAACACATTTTTAATATATAAGGCAACACGTCCTCCCTTTTTTCCCTGCCTGTCCTTCCTGAGCAAGCTGTACCCTTCTATCCCAGTATTCCAGTCATGCGTATTATCCCATCAAGTCTCTGTGATGCCAACTATGTCATAGTTGTGTTTATTTTCTAGCATTACGAGTTCTTCCTGCTTATTCCCCCATACTTCTCGCCTTAGTATACAGACATCTAAGATACTGATTTGACCCCTCTCCCCCAGTTCTGTCGTGTCTCTCCCTTATCCCTCTTTAACAGCCCATGCTCCCCCCAAATTCCGACCCTTCTCCCAGGTCTCCATGTTGCTGACTTACCTGTGGGCTTTGGTCACCTGCCCCCTTCAAACCTAGTTTAAAGCCCTCCTCACTAGGTTAGCCAATCTGTAGCCAGATATGCTCTTTCCCTTCCTCGCTAGCTGGACCCCATCTCTGCTTAGCATTCCTTCTTCCTGGAACAGCATCTCGTGGTCAAGGAAGCCAAAGCCCTCCTGGCGACACCATTTTCGCAGCCAGGCATTCGCCTCCAGGATGCATCTGTCTCTGCCTGGCCCCATGCTCACCCCGTGTCTCTCTCTGCAGGGTGGGACGGGGAGGACGTCACCCAGGGGGTCCCACGAGTCCCCCAGGGGGAGCTGCCCTACACCCTGAGCCTGAGCGTCACGCTGCAGTCACCCCATGGCCTCGACCGCGTACTCTCCAACTGCTCCCTCACCCCCCTAAGCTACACGGCTGGGAACCGGACCACCGCCCAGGTAAGGGCTCACCCGGACACCTGGGTCCCAGCCATCCCCCTGGGAGAGCCAGTATGGGCGGGCAGCTCTGAGCAGGGTGGTGATGGGGGCTCTGGGCCGAGGGTTGGGTGCCAGGGGACTGGGCGTGGGTCCTTGGTGGGCATATACAGGGGTGGGAGCTCTGGGGCAGGGCAGGGGGTGGGTCCCAGAAGGCACGGGGGGGTGGCAGGGAAGAGGGTTGAGCGACACCAACGGATCTGGGGAATTGCACATGTTCTCTGGGGAAAAACTCAAGGGGCTGAGACCAGCCTGTGGGGGTGAAATCCTGGACATTCGAGGGGTCCTGGTTCCCTTTGCTTTCTGGGAGTTTCCCTCTCCTTGATTTTGAATGGGAGAAAATGGGGGGGCCAGGAAAATATCACCCCCAAATTGGAAAGATTTAGCCCAACAAAGTCAGAATTTTCGCAGTGTTTTCTGCAAGAAGAGCCAAGTCCCCGTGTTGCCTTTGGGGTGTTTTTCCCTCTCTCCCTCCCTCCTAACCCAGAGTTGCTCCCTCCCCCTGGCTACATGGGGGGCACTGAGCCTGGCATGAGAGCCAGTGGGACCCTGCTCCCCAGGAGCCATGGGGCAGTGACGGAGTCTGTCGCCCCACCAGGTGTCTCTGGCTGAGGCCCCCCCGTGGGACCGAGACGTGGAGCTGCTGGTGTATTACGCGGAGCCGCACAAACCTAGCGCGGTGCTGGAGGTTGGGTTGCCCGGAGCAGAGCCAGGTACGGGGGGCGGGGATCATTCACCCTGCTGTCCCTGGCCGGGGGGGTGGGAATGGGGGTTCATGGGGTGGCGATGTGGGGGAGGCGTATTCTGGGGGTTGACGTGGGATCGGGGGACCCGGGACAATGAGGGGGATGGTAGGGGAATGGGGGCTCCTAGGGCAAAGAGGTGCTGGGGGAATCTGGGGCAGGGTTAAAAAGGTCGTAGAGCAGTTGTGACGATGCTGCTCGTGGGAGCCAGCTGAGGTCACTCAATTAGGGTGAACTGCAAACAAAACGGGGCAGACAAACCCCAAAAGCTGGTGGATATTCCAATACTTAGATTTACTAAGCCAGCCCAAAACAGCTTCTGTATTACCCCACTGGTTACTCAGAAGTCCAAACAACGCAGTTCCCTTAAAGTGCCCAGCCTCAGGCCTCCGTCCAGACAAACATGTCAGATATGATGATGATTACTGAAAATCTTATCTCATCAGATAAAAGACAAGGTTCTTCCAATCCCAAAGGATCAGCCACACACCCAGGTCCAGTTATAACTTAGATCTTATCCAAAATACACGCTATTAGTCAATTCTTCTTAACTAAACTAAAATTTATTAAAAAAGGAAAGAGAGTGTTGGTTAAAAGATCAATGTACATACAGACTTGAAGTCAATTATTGAGGTTCAGGTACATAGCAGAGATGAGTTTGTAGTTGCCAAAAGTCCTTTTAGGAATAGTCCATAGGTTATAGTCCAATGTCCATATTCAGGGTGAGTCCAGTCAGTGACTGGGGATCTCAATCCTTATGGCTTAAGGTTTCCCCCTCTTGAAACCCAAAGCAGATCTGAGATGCAGAAGGCTCATGTCCCAGGGTTCTTACACATTTCCAGCAGCCTTTTGGCCTGAGAAAACAATAGGCTTAACTCTCCTTCTCCCAAACATCCTGGCAATTAGCACAGGGTAATTATCCATTAAACAGTTCAGATACAGGTTACCACAACCTTCAAAGAGACATATAGACAATAATACTATTTGTTAATATTCCTTTTTTGATCTTTGAATCAAAGCTATAGCAATAGACAAGACTTGTTTGCTTACATTACAAGACCTGAGCAAACATCTACCCTTCTACCTCTAACAATACAGACTTCAAAGTCCTATTCATTTACTTATCTTCCTAACCAGTCTTTTAAAGTTCGGCCATGGGTCAGTTCAGTCTGTGAGGTAATTAACTCTTTTTGACCCTGTCACCTTTCAATGAGATATATTACACTCATAACGTCACAGCAGTTTTTAAGCTAAGGGCTGGGTGGAAGCCAACAGGTGCTGAGGAGTACGTGGTTAGGACAGAGGGAGGATCTATTGATGGAGACTCTCTATGTCCCAGTACGGAGGAGAGGATGGAAGATGATAAAATACAGGTAGGATCTGATGAGAAAGAGCCAAATAAATGAAAGTCCCATTTGATTACATCACGTAATGGCAGACAGCTAAAAAGTGACAAGTTTTGAAAGTGCTTATATACCAGTGCTAGAATTCTAAATAATAAGATGGGTCAACTTGGGTGCCTTGTATTAAATGAGGATATGGATAGAATAGGCATCACAGAAACTGGGTGGAATGAGGATAATCAATGGGACACAGAAATAGCAGGGTACAAAATATATCAGAC